AGAATTGTCAATGAAGAGTTCTAAAAAGGGTCATAAAACAATTAAGGTTTGTCCAGCGAGTAGTTATCGGCATTTTATCTTTTAATGTTTAGTGATCCCTATGTGCTCTTGGATCTGTTTCTATTTTGGTGTGTTCCTGTCAGCATGCGTGTATATATGCGTGCGTATATTGAACATGAAGAAAAATTAATTATTTTTAATAATATGTAGAAATCTCCACTTTTACCTGAAGACGGTCGCGAGACCAGAAACACGTGTCGTAAAATTATGTAAAACAAAGCATAATATTTTTTCTAAATAAATCCACATTACAACCAAAAACGTTTGCGGCACCTCTCTTCTTTTTAATATATATATATATATATATATATATATATATATATATATATACGTGTGTGTGTGTGTGTGATGTGTATTTGGGCAGTAACCTTTCTTTCATGCATCTTTCATTTAAAACGTTCAACAAGGAAGATTTAATTAATCTTTTATCCAGATTTGCAGCAATCTAACATTTTCCCGTTTATCAGGGGTTAAAGAATATAGGAATTGTCCATAGTTATACTTGTTCCGAGCGCCTTCGGCTACATCTCTAGCCATTATCAAGGATGTGCAAGATTGATAATAGGAGAATAAAGTTTAATAAGTAGAGACTCCCTTAAGACGAACTGTGGACGACTATATGACCTGAAAAAGATCCTTAAACGTTTTTAGAAGTTATGTGTTTATTAATTTCTCTCTGCTGTGACAGTCTACTCAGTGAGTTAGTGGTGTATCGGTTATAGGTCATTGGTTTCTGACAAGTAACACAGTCTTGAACAGAGCAATGGAATTGGTACACTATATTGGTCGCTGTTAGTTTAGATTTGATAGGGTTATTTCAGTTTGTGACGACAAGCTTTGCGGTCTTCCATTTTTCTATATGATGGACTTTATATGTTTTGCAGGGGTTAATGCAGAAATATGGTTTTTGATATTTTTCTTCGTAACAAATTCATCTTGCTTATAATTATTTTGCATCTGGTTGCAATAAAATATATTAATTTTTTGCAGTGTTGCATTTTTGTTACGGGCGCCGTGTATTTTTTGTAAGAATAATTCTATTTGCTTACCAATGATATAATTTATTTTTATATCTTTTCGGGCATTGGCTATCATAGTTTACAAGACAAGTGTTTGTACTAGTGTGTTTTATACGGGTAAGTGGTAAATTCGTTGGATTTTAGCCCTATATCAACGTCAAGGTCTTATGTACAATGGACTCATAAGTGAATTTTAGTGTTGAGTTCTTTCAAAGGTTGATTTTAGGTTTTCAATTACATCCATATTTTTTAACAAAACGAAAATGTCATCCACGTACCTTGTGTAGATTTCAGGTTTATGGGTTGGTTTAAATACGTTATTTTCGATCTAGGACATGTAAAATTCAGCGAAAGCAGGATCTAAAAGGTTTCCCATGTTATCACCATTAGTTTGGATATACATGTTACCATTATAGTTATAGTATCTCCTGCAACTCTTCTAGACGGTCTCCTTGTTTAAATTAGTGAATACTGCCATAATTCTTGCTTTCAGTTCATCTTTGGAGTTACAAGGAGTTTTGTTGATCTCTCTCTCTCTCTCTCTCTCTCTCTCTCTCTCTCTCTCAACTGCACCGTCTTCATAATAATCAAACGGGTTGCAGTCTGGGGAGTTAGGTGGCCAGAAACAAGGGGTGATGTGGGTGCAAAAATTGTTTGACAGCCATGACTGAGTTCTCCTTCTTGTGAGACATGGTTCAGAGACCTGTTGTCAGGCATAGGATCTTCAAGAATATCAGCCTCTTGATCCAGAGCGACTTTACCTAGTCAATGCACTTGATATAGACCATCGTGTTGAGTTTGAGGCCTGCATCAACAAATTCGGGAGTTCTTTTCATAACAGAACGATTAGAGTGAGTTTTCCGAGCTGCGGCACCTTCGTAGTTACGTATTGGAGGTTCCGGCGCGAATGCCAAGCAGTACAACATTTTTTCCAAAATTCTGGCGGAGGGAATTGCGTCACGGTGCTGTTTTTCTCAAAGACGGTGACCAACTGACCCTACTATAGCGTGCATTCGACAAAATCAAAAACAAACAAAAGACATGTGCGAAATTAAAAATATATAATGACAACAATTTACCTATCGCACTACGTATATATATATATATATATATATATATATATATATATATTTATTATAAACAGAGCATTTAGTTAAATATTTGTATCTATAAAAAGAATGTATAAACATAAAATGTCTTAAAATAATTGTCGGACTTTGTCCATTTCATAATGTGTGACGTCATTCGTTTACATTTGATACGCCATGAGCAGATATGAATGTACGTGAGAGAATCATGGAAGATTGAAGTTTAAACAGTAAATTCGACCTTGCTAACCGAACGCTCCTCTGTAGCCAAATCGGTAAAGGCACGTCAAGCTAAATGATGGTTCCATATATGATACAGGTTCGAATCCTGTCGAAGGACGAATATTTTCTGTGAAAATTTCTTGGACATTCAGACCGGTAAATGTTGTTTAATACTGTTTATTATAATAAGAGCATTTACTTAAATATTTATAAAAAGAATGTATAAACATAAAATGTCTTAATATATCTATCTATCTATCTATCTATATATATAGATATGTAATTTAAAGAAAAAAACAGACCACTTTAAAGCTCCATTAGTTATAATTTATTTCATCAGAGAATTTTTTTTTTCTCTGGATCTTCAGGCTTCACTTTCAAAGGTGAAACGAAAAATGAATTCATTAACATTGAGCTCTCAGGATTTCATCCTCCTTGGGATTATCCATACGGATTACCAAGATTTTCGTTGTTTAACTATATATATATATATATATATATATATATATATATATATATATGTGTGTGTGTGTGTGTGTGTGTGTGTGTGTGTGTGTATATATATATATATATATATATATATATATATATAGTTAAGTAAAAAATTATATATTAAAAATTCAGAGTTTCTTTATTCAGAAATATCTATTTTGACCCACAAGATTTTTACTTGTAGGTCGTGTCGTCTCAGAGATATGAAGAATTAAAAGAAAATATTAAAATATTTAAAGAATAAAAGAAGAACAAGTAGAAGGAAAGATAGGAAAAAGGGAAAGAAGAAAAAAGAAAGGGGGAAGAATAAAAAAAAGCAGTTGCAGTAGGGAATCTAAATGAACTCCGAAAAACATGAGAGTAGAGGTGGGAGTGTCTGGTCTAAGTCAAGAAGACAGTTAACCTTGACCTATATTAAAATATTAACATATTGTTTATAAAGGAAGATATTTAAAAAAATGAGAAGATTTTAAAAAAAAAAAAAAAAAGAGAAAGTAAAAAGGTAACATTTAAAATTAAAAATTATAATTAAAACGATATGTGAATTTTGTCCTCCTATAAATCCCTTGAATAGGCAAGTCTTAATTTAAATTCAACGTCAATCGCCATCTTCTGTCTTCCTGAACCCTGTTCCTTTATTGGCCTTTCCTCACTTCTCATTAAAGCCTTCTCATTCTCTTTCACTCTTTCTAACCCTTTACGTCCTAGTTGTTGTTAGAGTATTCGATATCGGAAATAGCGTTACTAAAGTGTCAATTAGAAACCTGCAATTAAAATCGATGAAATTTCCCGTCACAAAAGATGCTTCTTAACGTGACATCCAGTTTAGCCTTCATTCGATCTTCGATCAAAATATATAAACTGCGTCTAGAGATTATATGCAAAAAAGGTACTGTCAAATATTTTATGTAAAATTCATAGATATGTGTTATCTAATGAAATAATTTGTACTATTATGGATAGCGAGTAAGCATGAAAAGCAATTAAGTCCCAATTTTCAATTTCAGATTGATATTTAGTATTTTTTCCGTAATTATAGCAATTGGCAGTGTCAAGAGATTATTTGCAAGAACTAGAATTTAGTATTATGTCTCGTAAAAAAGAACTAACATTGAATGAAAAGAACTATATAATCAAAGAAATTAGCAAAGGAAAGTCTTCGCTTCAAATTTTTAAGGATTTGAAAAGGGATCATCGAACAATCAAGAAAATATGTCAAATGGGAATTCAACCAAGGAAAAAAAAGTCCCTATAACTTACATATATTCTCTAGACGCAGTTTATATATATATACATGTCAAATATTATATTTTTTGTCGAAAAATAACACTCTTTTTTGGACGTCAAAAAATGATATGTTCCTTTTTCACGTTAGATTACGATAGATCTCTGATGAATATTTATTCACTATGAAATATTTCTATCAACGATTAATCTTGGACGCGTCAACTAACTGTTCGTTTATTAGAGAAAATAAAGTTGGCGGAGATATGCATTCGCTGAGTACTTTCTAAAGATGAAGTTGGTATGTCTGGTCTATTAAATTCGATACTCAGTAGATGTCCCATTATTTTCAGGCCTAACAATACATATATCTGTAGATACGTGTGTTAAAATCTAGATATTTACTAAGTTTGCTATAATTAGACGAATGGACCAAGCAGTCATTATGGAACACTCTTTAAGAATAGCATTTTTGTAGCTATCTTGTTAGCTTGAGCTAGCTTTTTTAGTTTGGGAATATTTGCTAAAGACAAAATTCTATTGTCGAGTCTCTCCACAGGAGATTTCATAATTAGGCATATATAACATTACGGTGTAGACAATGAGATAAATAATACGTATATTGCATACGTTTTTCTCTTCTGAGAAATACTTACCTTGGACCTGTTTAGAAGAATCTCGTGAGAAAACTTCTCACAAGGGGTCTTCCGTCTTCATCCACACCATGTTGTGCATATTGGTTGGAATATTGGGTTTGCGTCTGGTGGGATTTTAAGGTGTGTTTAATTTGGATCAGCGTCGGGTAAATTTCTTGTCGGGACTTTTTCTGAAAATAATACTTCTAATATTCCATTTTGACAACTTCCACCATATTTCATCGGCTTCTGTTTTAAAGGCCCTCATTTGATCTTTCCAAAAATTTTCTTTTATTCGTTTTTGTTCTTTCTGTTCATTTTCTTTGTGACGGGGAGGGTTCTTTTGTTTTTGAATTTTCTGTAATTTTCTGTTTTTCTTTACTTCTCTCTTTTCTCTCTTACTCGCGATTACTTTCTTTCTTTCTTTCTTTCTTTCTTTCTTTTTTCTTTCTTTCTGTTACCTCCGTATTTTCCCCTGTTCGTTTTATGTTTTTTTTTTATCATGGCTGCTTCTTTCATTTGCTTCTTCCTCCTTTTTTATGTTTTTACATTAGCTTCTTTCTTTCTTTCTTTCTTTCTTTCTTTCTTTCTTTCTTTCTTTCTTTCTCGTCATTGCATTTTTGTTGTTGCGATATCCGCTTCATTCTTACTTTCTTTCTTTGACATATTTCCTTTCTTTCTTTCTTTCTTTCTTTCTTTCTTTCTTTCTTTCTTTCTTTCTTTCTTTCTTTCTTTCTTTTCCATCGCTTGCTTTTACTTACTTTATTTTTCATTAGATATTTCTTTCTTCCTTTGCTTTCTTTTGCATTCTTTTTTTTATTTATTTTTCAGTAAGTTTCGTTCTTTCGTTCTTTCTTTCTTTCTTTCTTTCTTTCTTTCTTCGTCATTTGCTCTTTCTTTTTTTCCTTTTCTTTTTCTTCGTTTTTTCTTTCTTCTTTCTTTTCTTTCTTTTCTTTTTTTTCTTTTTTTTCTTTCTTTCTTTCTTTCTTTCTTTCTTTCTTTCTTTCTTTCTTTCTACTTCTTCTTCTTTACAGTTTAATATCTTGCTATTCCATACTTACTTACCGCCAGCTACATTTGTCCATTTTTTGTTTGTTCGTTTCGTTTCCATCGCTTGTTTTTACTTTTATTTTTCATTAGATATTTCTTTCTTCCTTTCTTTTGTTTTTCATTCATTCTTTTTTATTCATTTTTCAGTAAGTTTCATTCATTCATTCATTCATTCATTCATTCTTTCTTTCTTTCTTTCTTTTTTCTTTCTTTCTTTTTTGTCATTTATCTTTTCTTTATTTCCCTGTCACTTGTTCGTTTTTTCTTTCTTTTTACGTCATTTACTACTTTTTTTCTTTCTTTCTTTCTTTCATTCATTCATTCATTCTTTCTTTCTTTCTTTGTCATTTGCGCTTTCTTTCCTTCTTTCTTTCTTTCTTTGCTTTTTCTTTCTTTCATTCTTTCATTCATTCTTTCTTTTTTCTTTCTTTCTTTCTTTGTCATTTATCTTTTCTTTATTTCCCTCTCTCTTGTTCGATTTTTCTTTCTTTTTACGTCATTTACTTCTTTCTTTCTTTCTTTCTTTCTACGTCGTTTACTTTTCCTTTCTTTCTCTTTCTCTCTTTCCTTTTTTCTTTCTTTTTCAGTCATATACTTTTTTTCTTTCTTTCTTTCTTTCTTTTTTCATTTCTTTCTTTTTTTTTTACAAAATCCTTCTTATCTTCAAATAAGACAAATACACTTGTCCATTTTCCAATTCTCATCAACTCCTATACGATGTGAGTTATTAAAAGCTTGTCGCCTCTTTCACCCGTTCATTCAGTCATATCAATCACCCTTCCTTTCTTTCCTTCCAGATTCTCTTCTACTTCAGCGTCCGTAACACCAATCTTCACATATCAGCATGTTTATTTCTGTCTAGTCCAGCAAAATCGATTCTGCGGCCATTTTGTTTAGCAATCGGAAGAAAGAAAACCTAACATCCCTGGAGTTCTCTCCCGATTGAAACGACCTTGACGTCCCATTCGGCTCCCCAATCGTCATTTCGCTTTAAATAGTGAAGAACCAATCCCGGGTTCTTACAGGAGTCGACTGAATTAGAATCGTTATCCGCATTTAAACTATTACGCAAAATTGCGACCGAAAAGTATATTTTTCATGAGTAGCCACAATGACTGAAGATAGGTTGGGGCTGTTTTTATACAAAATGTTTACATACTAATGTTCACGTGATACAATACTCAAGAGCTCATCAAGGTAGAGGGTTACAGTGTGGTGTGCTGTGAGCGTAAGGTAACGCGTGAATCCATCTTTTCTCCCCAGAACTATGTCTGAAAGAAAGCGGGGAAATTTTGCCCTTTTATTCTTGACTTCGAATCAGTCACGGCGAAGGACAACCTGTGAATTGAAATCCCGCAATGACAATCCCAACAGTAAAAATCTAATTGAAACCGTAGTAGGAACACCTAGCTTGGTGTAGCTGTGGCTTTATGCATCGCATATTATTTTTAGCTAACCAGAGATAGAGATAGAGTTAGAAACACAGAGAGGGTGAGAGTTACTTAAACAATCTTGATTAGGTGGTGTCGATCACGAAGAACTACTTGAACTACTTGGTTAGCTTGAACTATTTACAAAAGATATTAGAATACTGGGAACAAACCACTTGTATGTAGATAGAAATTGCATTCGGTAAATACACAAAAATAGAAACAGGCGTAAGAGGAGTGTGTGCTTTCTCACCGGACTTATTAAACATCTAGAGTGAAGATATAATTAGTACCAGGATTCGGCGTTTACGGTCAAAATTTGAACTATATTCAATGTAAAGATGATACATTGTTCATAGCAGACACAGAAAAGAAAAGACAGGAACTCCTAGAATAGGTAGCAAAGAAAAGTGAGAATAAAGAATACAATCCAAAAGAGAGTTTGGCTTTAAATAATAGTATAGTGATGATAAATTATAACAAATCTATCTATCTATCTATCTATCTATCTATCTATCTATCTATCTCAGCCTAATAATATCTATCTATCTATCTATCTATCTATCTATCTATCTATCTATCTATCTCAGCCTATTAATATTTATGTATGTATGTATCTATTAGCTATAAATAATACCACAGGGATGATAAGCTATAAAAAAATCTATCTATCTATCTATCTATCTATCTATCTATCTATCTATCTATCTATCTATCTCAGCCTATTAATATGTATGTATGTATGTATGTATATATGTATCTATTAGCTATAAATAATACCACAGGGATGATAAGCTATAAAAAATCTATCTATCTATCTATATCTATCTATCTATCTATCTATCTATCTATCTCAGCCTATTAATATTCTATCTATCTATCTATCTATCTATCTATCTATCTATCTATCTATCTATCTATCTATCTATCTCAGCCTAATAATATCTATCTATCTATCTATCTCAGCCTATTAATATCTATCTATCTATCTGTTTTCGTGTGTGTAGGCATGTATATATCGCACTGAAGGGAAACAAAGATCATAAACTTCCCACTTCAAACCGATCGTGTCGCCATATTCATTACCAGATCGAAACCGTTACTGCTTTTGCTTCCTGTTTTTTTTTTTTTTTTTTTTTATTGAAGTGCGCCGACCGCTGGTGAACCGTAAGTTATCCGTGATTGGACTATAAATTGCCAACAGGAGTCGCACTATGTGATTATAAATGAGGAAAGTTGGAGTTGACGGATGGCACACAAGTCGATACCCGATCAGTATTGTCTGGGTTACCGTGGAGACGGAATATGAAAGCCACGAAAACCCTAATGAACCTCCGTGAAAAACATCAATGATTGCTGTGCGCCAAAGAATGAAACAGATATTTTTACAGAAACGATTTAGCTGGAAACGGGAAACGGTTATATGTAAGAAGTGCTCAATAAACAATTCAAAAAATTGTAAGTGTAGAGCTAGCTAAGTTCGAAAACATTACGAACACTAAGCTTTTCCGCTACCGAAGTTTCTTCAAATGAAGGCTTTCTCAGGCAGTGAAAAGTGGGGTCCAAATCTTTGTCCTCGTTCTGAATCACACAATTTATTTAGTATCGTTTCTATTGATGGAAGCCTTCCAGGACGTCCATTTTGTGGATATAGTGCAGCTGTCTGGTGGTATTTTCTTGAATTTAATAGTTCTGCTTACCTCGGAGTTCTTGATAAGATCCAGAGACGGATATGTAATCTAATTGGCCCTTATCTAGCGTCTCGTCTGCAGTCACTCTCTCACAGACGCGCCGTCGCCTCTCTCTGTCTTTTCTACAAATACTTCCATGGTAACTGCTCTGACGAGCTGCTTTCACAGGTTCCCAGACTGCATGAATTCAAGCGCCCTACGAGGCTGGCATCCCGCTCCCACCCTTACATCGTAGAAACTCTCAAATGTAGCTGTCTCTTCTACTCCAATAGCTTCATACCTCGCACCTCTCGCCAGTGGAACACCCTCCCCAGTTACTGCTTCCCTGAAAGCTATAATCTCCAACTATTCAAATGTAATGTCAATCGACATCTCCAGTTACCTTGATCTACCCACTATCCTTCTCTCCATTCTTCCTCCTATCACTCCTATCTGCTCTCGCTCCAAATCTTCCGCAACCCCTTGCATCCTAGTGGCTTCACGCCTTGCTTGGGGCGTAATGCTTAAAAAAAACAAAACAAAAACATTTTGAAATCTTATTTCTTTCAAGATATGGGGAGAATGCTGGTTTTTGCACTTGGGGAATGCTGTTTTGGCCCAAAACCGCTGTACAAGCCATGGTCACTAAAGAAAGCTTTGTGATTTTTGAGACGACCACACTCTACACACATTCCTTCCCAGCCCTGCTATAAACACCGGGAGTGTGCGAGAACGTTATCACTTTGCCCGTATGCACGACAGCGTTCAAAGTTAATCAGTGAGGCTACAGTCCCGATATATATATTATATATAAATATATATATATATATATGTATTAGCTGCATCCAATAATTCGGTATACGTATGGTTTAAAAGAAGTTTTCAAAATGAAAAAAAGATTTCTTGAAACTTTCATATTAGCTTTAATTGTGGTGTATTTCAAACAGAAATCATATTGGGGGAAATAAAATATAGGGAGAACGACGCAAAGACTGGATGCCAGAATAAAGCAACACGTTCCAACGAAAATCCGAAACCTTAAGTACACTCCCTCGGACATTTTGACTAATACATACGGGTCTTCCATCGCAAATCACCTTATAAGTAGCCATAATTGTGCTGTTAGTTTTAGTGCGAACTCTTTTATCATCCTTAGCAGGTCCCACTCGAATTACCACTTAAAAGTGTTGGGGGGCATCTATATTCTATCATTAAAGCCTTCTCTATGTAAACAGAAGGACTTTGTATTAGGCCTCCAACTAATTACCACCTTAAAAAATTCCCCCAATAGACTTCTTTTTTAAATAATTTACTTTATTAACCTCGATTTAGCTCTGTTGAGCGAGGTACGAAACCGGTTAGCTAGTTCGTTTTTCCTTTTTCCTTTTTATTAACCTGAGTGGTAATAATAAAACTAATTTTTATCTCTTTATGGCAGTGATCAAATTTTGTACGATTTAACATATCTTTAAATATATATATTTGTGATGTCAACGAACACTCGATGCCACTTTTGTCATATCAACGAATACTCGTTGTCATTTTCGTAATGCTCGTTGTAGTAGAGACTTTGTAATCACAGATACAACTATAGTAACGCCGTTGAACAATGCTGGTGACAGACACCTTCAGATAACACTTTCCCTAAGAGTACTTGCTCGAAAATACTCGCTCGGAAAGTAACCACCGTGTAGTGATAGAGGATAGTGCAGAAAGAGTGTTCCGTATGGTAATAAAGGATAGATTAGAAATAGGGATCAGTCAGACACCACGCTAATTCATTTATACCCGTTTCCTCTATGGTCACGTGATCTACCTATTAGAAGTAGGATCGCCCGTGTTTTCTCACTGGCGATCTATATTCAAAATTTAAGTGTCAGCAGCGACAATTTATTCCTATAACACACACACACACACACACACACACACACACTATATATATATATATATATATATATATATATATATATATATATATATATATATATATATATATATATATCCAGGTTAAATGAGAACAAATGTAGTACAATTCCACTGTCCATAACATTTACTTAAAATGAGGGCTCAATACAGAGTAGAGCTAAATAAGATTTATTATAAGAAATTAAAACAAAAACATGTTAAAAATCGCTACACCGTTACAGTCGTGTTTCAACACCACAAATGTGTCTCCTCCGACAATGTCAAACCACTGGCGAGCGAAAGATTAATTTAATTCTGCTTTTGAAAGTAAATTAATATACATTACCCCCTTCTTATATATATGCGCTTTGTTTGTTTTGGGTTTTGTCGACAGCACAGTATAGTAGGGTCAGTTGGGCACCTTCTGTGAGAAAACGAGCACCATGGCGCAATTGGCTCCGGCAGAAAATTGGAAACAGCATGCTGTACTGCTTGGAATTCGTGCCGGGAGCACAAATACGAACATTTCAGTATATTTGGCTGTCCATCTGAGGACAGTGCGGAGGATTCGTAGAGAGATGGATGAATCTAATGGTGATTATGAATGGATTTGAAGTGATCACAAGTGATGACGACGTTTTGCCTCCATTCATCTTCCTACTGTCTCTCAGATTCAACAAGGAGCCCTACATCAAGTTCTTTGGGGAGGTAATGCTGTCCTGGGTCAAGAGGGTGGCTCCTGGAAGATCGTATTTCTAGCACAATGCCACGCAAGCAGGAGAACTCATGGCTGTCAGACAATTTCTGCGACCACATCACCCTCTACATCTTGTCACATAACTTCCCCAGACTGCATTACCTTTGATTATTATGTGTGGAGAGACCAACAAAACTAACGCCAAAGATGAAATAAAGGCTAGGATTATGGCAGCATTCGCTAACTTAAACAAGGAGACTGTCCAGAAGTAATGCAAGAGATTCCGAAATTGTCTGTAGGCCATGGCTGAAGCCAATGGCGATTTTATTGTATAAATTGACTCTTTAGTATATAAAGATATTTTGTCTAATTTTGGTAAATATATCAGTTAAAATGAGATGAAATATGTTGTATCCTTAAAAGGTTACAAAAAGACAAAGGTGGTACTCGAGTGAAAGTCACAGCAACATGTGCGTAGATGGAAGAAAATGAGATTTATTGTAAAAGAGAATACACAATTGAAAGACAGGGAATCGACTAACACTTCCCGAAGCCAGCAAACTGATAGACAGACAGACAGACAGACCGTGGTATGTTCTGTGCACACTACATATAATACTGATATAGTCAATCCACAATGTGCTTACGGTCAAATCACGCTGAAACACCGGTTCTCCTACGATCACCGAAGTTAAGCATCGTAGAGCCAGGTCAGAACTTAGATGGGGGACCGCTTGGGAACACCTGGTACTGTAAGCCCCCAAAGTCCAACCCATACCTCAAAGTCGGTGTGGGGGGGGTGTAAACGGTAGTGCCAGAGCTATGCCGCCCGGAACTTCGTTCCTGGTAGGGCCACCCAAGGCGGACAGGTCTGACACACACGCCGGCTAACAAGGGCTCTGGTGAAAATCTAAGGAGCGTCTGCATCGGTAACCGGCGGCTTCTGGTCGTTCCTGTCTCTGCGTCTGTGGGAACCCCGCGGCAAGCAAGAACGTTATCCGAGTAGGCCTGGGTACCCTACTTCTGTAATTTATCCCAAGAATCTTCTCATAGCAGGAAGAAGCCGGCTCAATCCGCCCAGGGTGAATGCCGCATCAGTACAGTAGTAGTCAATCCACAATAGGTAAAATAGAGAGTGGGATATTCCATTACAGCACCTCCCCCGAGCTAATTTTCACATGAAATTTTGGTCAAGACCTTTTCTTTTGGGAGTCAAGACATAGTTGTTTGATTTTTTTCCTCTTCTTAGTACTTTATCGTCTCACCAATTTTTGTGCTGGTGAGAGTTGAGGCCGTTAAAGGTTTACGGGGATCTTATACTTCATCGGTACTGTTGGGGGAAATGGCGACAGGTATTTCGAATGTGTCATATATTACCTCCCTTGGTAATTCTTTCCTAGGCGTGACATCTTTCGTATGTCTTGGCCTTAACTGATTTAAATTTCTCTTACACTCAAATCTTCTTCCTTTTAGCATGTATATCACTCCATCAAGTCTTTGTCTTTCGACGTTGTAAGTCCCTGGACGAAGATTTAATCATGTCGACAGAAAGGTCGCCTAATTTAAACAATTCACATTGTGAATTTACATTGCCTAAGCGTTCTACTAGGCTGGCATCTCGCTTTCACCCTTTCACTGTCTAAACTGTTAAATGTAGCCGTCTCTTCTACTCCAATAGCTTCATGTCTCGCACTTCTCGCCT